CTGTTGGCATTTGATATATTAATGGCAAAGTTTATGCAGTCGTCCATGATGATGATGATGATGAAGAGAAGACGATGATGATGAAGGAAAAGAAGAAGATGATGATAAAAGAAAAAATGATGATGATGATGAAGAAGAAGATGATGATGATAGTGGGGATGATAACTTTGACGGTGACAACAGAATTCTAGAACGGTCCGAATGTTAATGAAAAAACAAATTGATGACATGACAACGAAGAAGATGAAGATGATGACAACGATGATGATGACGATTAAGAAGAAGAAGATGATGATGATGATGACGAAGAAGAAGATGATGATGATGATGATGACGACGAAGATGATGATATTGATGATGATGACGAAAAAAATTGATGATGTTATTGTTGATGTATCCAATGCCAAGATGTGCCGCTCAGCATATAAATCAAAATAACTAATCTATTATTAATATACACACGTACGTACATACATACAAACATACATACAAACATACATACATACATACATACATACATGCATACATACATACAAACATACATACATACAAACATACATACAAACATACATACATACATACATACATACATACATACATACATACATACATACATACATACATACATACATACATACATACATACATACATACATACATACATACATACATACACACATCCATACATAAATACATACATATATATCGTTAAAGATTGTATGCAAGTATGTTTTGTATGCATGTTTTGTATATCTGTGTTTTTTGTATGTTTTTAGGAATCGGAAAATAATTGAAAAAATGGCCGGTTTGCTATTTAGCCAATCAGGCAGCCGACTTTTACGATATTTTTATACCCAATTAACGCTCTTTCAATCTATAATTTACTGACATTTTTAGCTCGGCTACCTATAGAAGTATCGATATAACGAACAAAAATGACATCAACAACAACCACAACATCAGCAACCAAATCAACAACAACCATATCTACAATAACCATAACAACAACATCAACAACCACAACCACATCATCACAACAAGCACAACAACAACATCGACAACAACAACCACAACAACAGCAGCAGCAGCAACAACAACAACAACATCAAAAACATCCACAACGACATCAATGACATAAACTACACTTATCCCATTATTAATTAAATAATTAGATAAATATTAACATATGGTAGCAAAGTGCTTTTGAATTCAATTTTGAAGTGGAATAACTTTTCAAAGAACGAAACCATGGAAAATAAGAATTCTACAGAGAATTCACCCTCTGTCTCTCTTTTTGTCCTTCTTTCTCTCTTTTATTCTTTTTCACTCTCTTTTTTTTTTTACTTCACATTCAGTTTGTTTACATTTAGTTACACAAACGAGCCATTCAGTCAGATGTTTTATTGTAATTATTTTTCTTAATTGCCAAAAATAAGTTACGAGAAATTGATAGAAAGTTGAGAAAGAGAAAAAGAGAGAGAGAGAGAGAGAGAAAGAGAGAGTAAAAGAGAGAAGAAGAGGAAAAGAAAGGAAGAGAGAGAAAGAGAAAGAAAGATGAAGATAACGAGTAAATAAGAAGCTAACTTTTTATAAAAATTTTTAGGAAACAATCAATGAGATCAGTTGCAAATACTTTTCATCTATTTATGTACATGTACACACATACACACGCACACACACGCACGCACGCACACACACGCACACAAATATATATATATATAATATCTATAAGTGTGGCTTAGTATATGGATATTTTGGATTTTTTATTCACACAATCCTTGCTTTTAATTATTCATATCCACGCAAAGCTTGTACATTTAGGTATGTATCAAAATATTTGCGTATGCAAACGTACACAAACGTATTATAGAACACACACACACGCACGCACGCACACACGCACCCACACACAGAGACGAACAACAATCCTCCCTCTGTAACATGCATACCTGAGACACACATATAACAACGATGAAAAATATTTTAAGAGAATTTCTAAACATTAAAAAGCAAACATACACACATCTTAGATCTCTCTCTCTCTCTCTCTCTCTCTCTCTTTATTTTTATTTATCTCTATCTTTTTCTGTCATTCTTTTTTTTGTTTCTATCTCTCTCTCTCTCTCTCTCTTTCTCTCTCTCTCCGGCTTGGCATGTGCATTCATCGCAATGAGAGCCTGTATGTACATTCACTTACTCACCTATTATTCATCTCGTTGCTAACAATGCTCAAATTGATGGATGGATCGTACATGAATGATGGATGAATAAATGAATGAATGATTGATGGAGTGGTGAAGAAGAACGGATAGACTGATTGCGGGGAGGTATGAATGAATGAATGAAAATGTGCAAATGTGATTAGTTTTATACAAACAACCAAATAAGGAAGGAGTAAGAAAGGCAAAAAACAAACACACATACAAACATACAAAACAAACGCACATACAAACATACAAAACAAACATACAAACAAACATACAAAAACATACAAACATACATGTAAACATAAATTTCAAAAAAACAAATACCCAGTAACTCAGATATAAAAATACGATGAATTAAAAAAATAAATTCTTCTCACAGCGCTGTCTTTAAGAATGGAAATGAAACAAATAAACAATAGCAGGCAGAAAAATCAATACGGGACATATATGCATGAAGATGTCTTATATAATGTATAGACTGTGTTTTCACACTCACACACACGCACCCATACGCACCCATACGCACACACACGCACAAAGACACACACACACACAAAGACACACATACATACATACATACATACGCGCCTAGCAACAGTTATAACGATGACAATGACAACAAAAATTATAAAAATCTAAAATTTGAAGGAACGAACGAAAAAGTGTACGGATGAACAGACGAACAGACGAGCAAACGCATGAATTAAGAAGAAGATGAACCTTGTGAACGAGCCTAATGAACGAATGAATGAACAAATAAAAGAGACGAACCATTAACCCACTACATAAAACGTCTGATAGTACTGACATTTATATCGATGTTACTACTATGTCTGTGTGTGAGTACGTGTGTGTATGTGTATGTATGTGTGTGTATTTATATGTGTACGTATGTGTGAGTGTGTTTGTGAATGTATCATATCTGCTGTGTGTGTATTTATATGTGTATGTATGTGTGTGTGTGTGTGTGTTTGTGAATGTATCATATCTGCTGGCCAACTTATATTACTGTTTTGTATATTCATTTCAATACATCTGCATGTGTGTGTGTTTTTCAGAGTGTGTATACATGTGTGTATGTGTATGCGTGTATGCCAAGGTACGGATTTTTATTATACTGCTAGTCCATTATATTAATGATGATTATAGGTTGAACGGTGAGAGCATCGCGAGAAAAATATATTAAAAAATTATTTTTTTTTTTTGAAATTTTTGTATCTTTGCTTATATTTTTTCTTTCTTCAAATTATATAACGCTCATATTTGTTTATAAATTTTTTTTTCTCCCATTATATAGCGCTTGATTTTTTTACGTCAGAGAGTTGATCGGTGACGTCATTTTCATTGGCGTCACGAGTGACGGGAGTATTGTTGGCTGTGGCTTAACAGCAGCTACGGAAATGTCAGATTTGACAATTTTAACGTATAAGTTTTTTTAAGATACTATACACTCATAATAATAACAATAATATTAATAATGATAATAATAATAATGATAATAAAAAACATCGCAAATAAATACTGCCACTTAATGTATTTTCAATCTTTCTTCCATGTACATTTGGATTTAATAATTTTTAAATTAGAAAAAATAGTTTGAAGGGTTTTTTTTGTTTTTTTTTATTATATTTGTTGTTGTTTCTCTTTTTTATTCTTGTATCGAAGAAATAATTTGACAGATAGATGGCAGGCGGTGATGGCGAGTCACTCGTTCGTCATATGGTTCTTTTTTTCTCTTAGTCATAAACATAGAACTCGGCGATAATTACCATTTTTGTTATTGCGGTTCTTACTACTATAACTACTAATAATTTTAATACTGCTGCTGATGCTGCTACCACTGGTACTACTACAATTTTTACTGCAACTAAACTACTACTACTGCAGCTACTGCTTCTACTACTATTACTTTTTCAACAGCGGCTAAAAAAGCAGCTGCAGTAGTAGTGGTAGTAGTAGCAGCAGCAACAGCAGCAGCAACAACAGCAACAGCAGCAAATGAGAAATTTGAATTCACTTGAAGCCATCTTTAAAATGATTAGAAGCTTGGCGACAAAAAAAGCAAACGCGAAACTAAACGTCAACAAAACATCATCAGCTGCTAACTGCACGGATACAACAATGTAGTTACATATATTCAAGTTTTCTATCCTGGTTCCATTCTATTGAAAAAAATGCAGTTTTTCACAAACACACACACACCACACACGCACACGCGCACACACGCACACACAAACGAACAAGCACAAATTTAAATAAAAATTATGATATCCAATTATTTTAAAATTCATCCGCGGGTGTGAACACGAAAAGTTTTTAGTGAATTTTTCCGTTACGTTTACACGTGCCAAAAATTTGTTTACGATTGATTAAACTGAGTATGACGTCATTATGGCTTGCGGCGCTGACCAAAAAAACTAAAAATTTAGAAAAAAATAGCGAAAGTTTCCATTATGAAAAGAAGTTAAAAATAATGGAAAGTGATTTTTTTAGCAACAGTGCAAACAAACCAGCCTGGACAAACAGTACGTTCACTGAAGAGGTTGCAAGAAAAGTTCATGTCTACGTTTTCAATATTAAATTGTTTTAAATGACATTCATTTGAATACAAAATTAAGCAACCAGCAAACCTACCAATCAACCAACCAACCAACCATTCAACCAACCAACCAACCAACAAACCAACCAACTCACCAACCAACCAACCATCTATTCAACCAACCAACCAACCAACCAGGTGATGTACTAACGCAAGAAATCTGCCAGCACGAAACGTTTGAAGCCAATTGCAGCATGCCGAATTTCAAACCTGCACCGCCAACCAACTCAACAAGACCACATCACTACAACAAAAAACCCTTCCCAAAAATCTACAAAGATGGCGTCCTGGCCACTTCCGGTCACGTGATAATCATACGAAGCGCTAACTACGGACGTATGCACATCGGAAAATGCGCTACGAAAAATTACGGCGACGTCGGGTGCCAGCACGACGTCACGAATCACGTGACTTCCGCTTGCTCGGGATTGGATAGCTGCAAGGTCTACGTACCGGATGATTGGCTGAAAAGTTTGCAGCCTTGCCCGAAAGACTTCGCCCCCTTTCTTGTAGTCAGCTACCGATGTTTGCCAGGTTAAAAATATGCGGATGTGTTGTTGTGCATACAAACATACTACTACAGCTGCAGCAACATACATGCATACAAACAAACAAGCATACACAAATACATACAAACATACATAAAAACAAACTTACTTACATAGTCACATACAGAAAGCATATATACCTTTGATCTACAGGGCAAGACAATTCGAAGAAAATAAAAAGGAACGCTAATAAAATTATAACTCCACAAACAATAATACAGAGACGAGGTTTGCTATGCACACGCACACACACTCATATACACACACTCACATACACACGTACGCACGTATATACATTCGTATATTTACATTCGTCTGTACGTATATACGCTTTTGATTGTTGGTATCTATGTCAATAAATCTTTCAAACTAAGTTTTATGCTTGCGAGTGAATTTGCAAATGTGTGTATACGTATGTTTGTATGTTTGTTTGTATGTTTGTTTGTTTGTATGTTTGTTTGTATTTATGTTTGTTTGTATTTATGTTTGTATGTATTTGATGTTTTATGTACGTGCTTTTGCATGTGCGTATTGGTGTGAGTATGTATGTGTTTATGTGTGCATTGCATATGTATGTGTGTATGTAGTACGTGTGTGCGTGTGCGTGTGCGTGTGTGTGTGTCTTTGTCTCTCTCTCTGTCTAGATGTTCAGCACAGAGTCTGGACTGTATGTCGACTTGATGTTTGTGATTAATACAATCCATCCGTCTGTTTGGCTGACGCGTGCGTGATTGCGAAGACGACGACGAAGAAGATGATGATAGTGAAGGTGATGGTGATGATGATGTTCCTAGTGGTGATGATAATGATGATGATGGAGAAGTCAATTAAAAAATTTAGGATTAAAAATATTTACAGAAAACTCTTGCCAAATAAAAAAAAACAAAAAGATGGTAGGTATATCTGCGTGAACAAATGAATGAACGAACGAACGATCGAACGAACGAACAAATGAACGAACGAAAGAACGAACAAACGAATGAATGAATGAAGAAATGTATGAAGAAATGAATGAAGAAATTATAAAAAGGTTCCTGAGTTTTTATGAACTGAAAAAGAAAAAAAAATTTTTTGAATGAAGTTTCAAATTAGGCATCATAATAATTGATGACCTTCGTACGTACATACATTCGTTCAACGAGTGCGTACATTCAAGGAGCATGATGACGATGATGAAGAGATGAAGATGATGATGACGAAGAAGAAGAAGGAGGAGGAGGAGGAGAAGAAGAAGAAGAAGAAGAACGTGAAGGTGATGAAGTAGTAGATGATATGACGTCACGGATGGCGATGATGATGATGAAGAAGAAGATGATGATGATTAGGATAAGATAGTAATAGAGTTATAACTGAAGTACGATGATAACAATGATGAAGATGATGATGACGACGACGACGACCGTGATAAGATAACAATAGAGATATGAATGAAGTATTGTCGGCATGCTAGGATATCAAATGAAAATAATTACAACAATGATTTAATGATCTGTCCCTCGTAAAATACGACGCATTCTTTCTTTCCTCTCTTTTTTCTTCTTTTTTTCTCTACTTTTTACCCTCACATTTCTACTTGTTTTCTCTTCTTTAATCTTTTTTTTTATTCCTCTTTTCGTTGTCACATTCTTCTTTATCTTTCTCTATCTATCTCTTTCTTTTATTCTTTGCCACTCCTCTTTCTCTTTCTCCATCTTTCTCTTTTCTCCTTTCTCTAACTCTTTTTCTCCCTGTTTTTTTTTTCTCTCTCTCTCTCTCTCTCTCTCTCTCTCTCTCTCTCTCCCTTACTTTCTGTGTGGAACTTCTATTTGTTCTTTTAGAAGCGGTGAAAAACATCTCTAAATCATTGAATAAATGAATGAATTAATTGAATGAATTAATGAATGGATGAATGAATAAATATATAAATGGATGAATGAACGATTGAATGAATATATAAATGGATGAATGTGAATGAATGGAAGATCAAACAAACAAATGAACAAATGAAGCGGTATATATTAAGAAGGATTGCTAGCCGTTCATTCGAACGAAATTAAAATGAAATGAAAAGTTGATACACATTTTCTCAAATAAAAAAAATTATCCATTTATTCATATATAAACGATATATAGTAGTTAATGCTTTAAAATTAGGCAAAAAATAAAT